ACTGACTGACTTAACGTTCAGTGTTAATGTCAATGGACGTGAAAATGTGAAAATACTCTTGGAACGATCGAATGAAAAAGGGCTGGTTTATAGATACCTGAAGAAACACAATAAAAAAAATCAATGATGGTTAAGATGAACTGTATATTTTGTGTAGATAATGGTAAATTAATAGAAAACTTCCAACCTGAATATTTAGGAGAGGGAAAGCATGCCAGGATTCGGTAATGGTGCTTGGGAGTAAACCTTCAGCTGGGATGGTTTATTTAATTATCATAATCGGTATCAATCTTCTTTCTCGATAACTCTAATGATTTTGAGGCGTTAACTACATTTATTAATATCTTTCGCAGTATCTGTAACATATAAATAACAATAGGATATAAGCGAATAACTGTCTAAATTTATGAAAGTGAGTAACAGATTGTAATTCAAGTGGAAAATGTTTCCCTTCTATACTCTTATTGATTGGTGTGTCTGAAAAAGCATTTTTATTATTCCTATATTTATTTATCTGTCAGTATGATTTGCTCTGTCCCGTAGAAACATATTTCTATACTGTGCTGAAGATTTCACTCAATTTTTAGCAGTTTTTATATTTTTTTACATTGTTTAAAGATGGGCGTCAATATTAGTGTCTTTTAATGTCAACAAACCATTTAAGTTATTTTGTTGATAAGTAGTAGTCAATGCCTGACTTTATAGTTTACATTGCATCGCGACTCATTTTGTTTGGATAGTTGTAAGGATTAATAAATAAACCTATTTAATACAACTCATACACATTGATGCTAATCACCAAAGGATATCGGTAATTATGACTGAACTGACTGATATGTTTGAATATCACAGTGCTATGGGAGCTGAACGGTAGTGAATATAATGAAATGTGAGTCTTGGATTTATGTGTTAGTCACTATCTAACTTTCTTAAGAATTTGTGACTGTATAAAAGCAATCCTTTAAGGATGCACACATACTAAAAGATGTCAATGAATTTAACTCTTTAAAACTTAAAACGGAAATTTACAGACTTTTACAAATAGTATTTGTTGAAATAAAAAGAATTATTCTGAATATAAAACTTTTTCTAGACTACTTTTCAACTACTACTGAATAGAATTGGTTACATTTACAATGAACAACCAAAGAGACCATATAAACAATAAAATGAGAATCCAACTTCCTTCAATGAATTATAATAACTTTCCTCCCTAGTTTGTTTGTAAACTGGATTTATTTCCACTAGTTACGAATGTATTTCCTGAAATTCTCTGTCTAACAAAATCAATCATACTGTGTTTGCTTTCAATCGTATTTATTCCTTAAATATTTAGACATTTGTATGGATTCCAAATGAATTTCATTACTATTAACTTTTATTTTATTTCAGTTCTATTTCTAGGACAATTTTGCTGTTAGTTGTTCTAAGAAAATCCATTAGTTCAATTGGATGTCTTAATTTTTTAAAATAAACTTAGTTTATACAGTTAAAAAGATCATTCCTTTGGGATATAGTTTTCATCAATGCTTGTTACAATCCTTTTGTTACAATGCTTTCTGTGTTATCAATTTATCATAAGAATATTTTTAGCACTTTATTGTATATAATCCGGATAAGAAGAAAGTGATTGATTAAGATGTCTGTTTCAGACAATTAAATATTCTCTTACTTGAATTTTCGTAGTTTGCGAATGAGATTAATCACTTCTGATGCTCTTAAAAGATAACTAGTTATAAATGGTGTACAATATTTAGCTTCTATTAGTCTCTTCAAGCAAAATTTACAAGTTTTGTTAGATTTCAAGATACTTTAGTTTATATGCATGTGACTTCAATTATGTAAACATTATTCTAGATTGTATTACCTGCCTATGCAAATCATGCAATTTATCACTTTGAAACAAATGAACTTCAGATGATGAGGTACGATTTCGTCATTGATAATGCAACAAATACTGATTACTGTGTGATAAGACCGAGTCAAAATGACAGTTTTTAGTAGGATATCGTTGGTCCGTTTATTTAATTACCAGGTCATCTTGAGTGCAGTACAAATACCTTCAAACATCGCGTTCACATAGCCACATTTCAGACACTAAGCAGTTGTTCTTTAACAATTTTAAAATGCCAACGGAGAATGGTCAATTTCAGTCTAAACTGAAAGACCAGGATATTCAAGTTAGTACGGATAGTTTCATAGTTTTTAAATAACAGCTAGAGAGACATTAAACGTTGTTTATCATATAAAAACAATTGGATGGAATTGGAAATATAGAATATCAAATTTCAAACAATAGATGATTCACTAATGACATCAAAGTCCCTGGATTTGCAGTGGTTTGTACACACTAATCAGTATGAAATTATTCATTATCATAAAATTTAATTTTAGGACTTCTAAATCCTCAATCAAAACTAACCCTATTTGTCAAACATTTCATCAATACTATTGGAAACAGTATTATCGATCAATCTGTAACGAATATAATCTGTAAATTCTACCAAGCAAAATATTATTGATCTGCTGATAAACATTTTAAACATTCATTGTATAAATGTTGGTAAATTCATAAAATAAACACTTAGTTCTAAACCAATGATGATGGTATTCAAAGATAAATTGAATTGTAATTAACTTCCCAAATTACATTCAAATCAATAATTATGGAACGAAAAACATTTTTAATTAAAATAACGATTTGATCAATGTTGGGCGACTGTTGAAAACCTGCAAGCACTGTATGGCCGTTTCATACTAGAATGGGATTCCTCAGTAATGCGAAATCACGATTCCAAATGCGAGATAAAACAAAAGAGTTTCGGTCTCGCCTAAAGGATTAACCTCTAGATCGACGGTGTCAACGTCTAACTTCAACCAATCCGTGATATTGCGCGACCATCTTCCAATGTCTTCGCTGGTTAATTACTTCACATCCGACACGGCTGAACACATTTGTATCATATTTCGAAAAACTCATATCTTGGTTTATTTTCATTTCATGCATTCGTGAGAAGTGTGTGTACTCCCTAATTACCGGGGGATAAACATGTTATTGAGATCGTGAATAATTCAAAGAAAGCAAAATACGATGAACCTCAATAAACCAATGTGTTATTTATAAAAAGGCGGCTTTAAGTTAACTAACATTTATACATAAAATTGTCTAAATTCCACAAGGATGAAAGGACTGTCAAATGATGATGAATAGAATAGATAGATTGTGGAATCAAGGTTCCATCTTTCTTTTTTATTGTGAATTTTCAGTTGGACATACCTGCATCTTGATTTTCATATTCAAGTTGACATTTAAATTCAGTGCTTTTGAGTTCGAAAGTGACATAATCCACTGAGTTATTAATTTGAAGTATCCAATGGCTTGTTTTGTCCTAAATATCAACAATGGGATGATCTGAACCATTTCTCATAGTGATAAAATAATCTTATCCAGAATGACAATAAAGACTTTAAAATTGAACCATCCTGTTGAGTGAATTCAAAAGTACCAAATCACCCAGCATTAGCCATAAATCTGTTCTATCAATCCAAGATTTAACTAAATATCAGTAAATAATTCTTACCAGAACATAAAATATTTCTGAATAATTTCCAACGTCTAACATTCCAGTCTAGTATTCATTCATACCATGTAAATACCATGTAGGCATCTAAAGTATTTTCAGACATTAGACATAATGGATCTACCGAATAATAACTGGGATACGGTAATCATCTAGAATATTTATTTAGGCTACATATTAATCTGTAACGAAATATGTAAAATGCACTTTTGAAAATAGAAATGAAAAGATCAAAATAAAATTAATTCGATCGAGTAATTTACAACGATTAGTTATCATTATTAACATTCAATTATTGTCAATTTTATTGGTTCTTATCACTTAAAATAGGCATACATAAAATCGGTCATAATCTTTCTGTTGTGCCGTTACCAGAAATCATTTCTAATTACCCAATTTCAAGGTTTTTCATAAATCTATTTTTTAATATGACAACATGAAGTCTGTACCAGAAGATGATACCCTCAAAATTAATGAGTAATTATGAGTTCTGTACAAACATATATATATCGTTTATTTACTTAGCCATTCAAGGTCAGTCTAATAGAGATAATAATTAAAAGTTCTATTGTTGGCTTCCTTTGCTTTTTCATCAAATCTTCGAACCCTCATCACTGTTATTAACTTGTTTTCAGAAACAATAATAGTTTCACAAACAAACAACTCAGAGCTAAGAGAGCACAATTTCAGCTGAATTAATTACAAAACAGTAGCATAATCCTAAAACCAGCTTGTAGAATCATGTTTTGGAAACTTTCAAATTACATAATTCAAATTGTTCATACATATATCTATTTATTTATTTATTGTTCAGTTTAATTCATCGAAAGCAAACAAAAGAAAGTAATATATTATTCAAATCTAAAATTTTTAATAGAAATTAACAAATTATATCAAGGTGATAGGGAAACGAATAAAGGAAAGGAGACCATTTTAAAATGATTAGTAATTAGATAATAAATAATCAACAAAAAATGATGAAAATAAATAATGAATTAAGACAAAAATAAATAAATTAAAAGAAAATGTATCTTGCTTGATTAACTTTACAATTTAATAAAAAAGAAACTTTGAAGCATCAATTATATTATGAATAAGCTGTGCATTGTATTCTTGGGAATAGTTGGTAAATCTATAGTTCATAGTAATAGAAAACAGTAACTTGATATAATGGTTACCTGTTTTTAAATTATTTGGTAAATATTCTGTGAAAATAATCAATAAACGTATAATATAGTCACATATAATATTGAATATTGACTAGAATACTATTGCTGATTCTTTTTTGTAAACTAAAACATTCTTATTTCTGTATACAGTTGTAAATAAAATATATAATGAGTAAAGTGAATGTGTATTCAATAAATCTGGCTACATTAGATTAATCTGTTGTTTTTATTCAAAGTTGTATTTTTGTTTTTATACTCGAAATGAACATCTGACTGAACGTGAACCAATTGGACAAATTGGACGAAAATTATCGGTTTGACCACAGGTTACACAATTTGCATGCATTTGTCGTAATGTTTCAAGCTGCGTTTAGAATAAAAAACAAAGAAACAGAATATATATACATATATGTTTGATTAAGGACAACACAAATGAGGAAAAAAATTTAAATTATCCCATTATGATTAGTCTTGACATATATACATATTATGTAAAATAGTTATTCTATTACACACAGTTTTATAGAACACAAAGGTTTCTGTGTCAGTAGTTTCATCCGAATACAGACTCCTCATCTAGATTTGCCTATATCTCAGTGGTTATTTGAACTTAGTTTTCCTGAGTCACTAATTCTCTCTTTCTCTTTTCTGTCTCTTATAATAAATCATTTATTATTTAGTATAATTGAATATATCACATTAAAAATTCAATCTTTCATTAATAATGAACTCGTATTAAATAGAATAGAAATAGATTGAAAACAAAAAGAAAACAAACAATTCAACTGATTCGAATATATTTCGATCCTATCAGAATTATGTCAATAAACAAAAAAAACAAAAAAATAAACTGAATAAAAACGGAAAAGAAAAATTGCGATTATTTTTCATTTTTTTCGTTGTTTTTTGAATTTATTTTGTTTTTGTTGTGTTTTTTTTTAAAAAAAATAAAAGAGAAAAATGATCCTCTTCTTTTTAATATTTCAGATATTAATGTATAGAAAATAATAAGTGAACTAGTTGAAAGAAAATATTAATACTTGGAGAATAACTGTCATTCATTTATTCCCTAATTAATTTTAATGAACTGTACACAATTTAATGCGATCTAATCAATATGGATAAATACAGATTTAATAAATTTTAAAAAAAGTCGGTTTATTAGTCTCCAGAGTATTTTTATGTGCTTACATTTCACTCAATTATTTAGTTTTCGCTTAGAGGAATTGACCAAAGGATAAAAAAAGACAAATGAAAACATCGAAAATATTATTACCTTCGGTGATAACCTATATATTTGAAATTCATGTAGTAAACTGAAGTTAGAATATGAAATTCAATTTTCGTTATTTGAAATGATCTTACTCTCTGTAAGAGAAGAAGTTCTGTGATTCTATTCATTGTTTAGAGGTATGGTTGGATTCTATTCAGAACTAATTCTTATGTAATGTTTATTAGTATTTGATAGGTTTGTTGTCTGAGGAAGAATTTTTGAAATGAATTACCTTCACAACATATCTTGTCATAGATTTAGTGTCAGTTATTGTGTAGTATCGGTTGTTCCGTTAAGCCCACATACTTCATTCTAGTTACTGGCCAAGCCATTTCGCCTATACATTATGAGTCATATTTTGATCTTGTTAGTTATTCGCTTATTAATATTGACTACCTCAAAACAATTGTCAACCAACACCAAGGTTAGAATTTTCAATACAAATGTCAAGACAGTTCTTCTGTATGGGGCAGAGACGTGGAGAACTACGAAAGCCATTATCCAGAAGATACAAGTGTTTATTAACAGCTGTCTACGCAAGATACTTCGGATCCGATGGCCAGACACTATCAGCAACAAGTTACTGTGGGAGAGAACAAACCAGATTCCAGCGGAGGAAGAAATCAGGAAGAAGCGCTGGAAGTGGATTGGGCACACTTTGAGGAAATCACCCAATTGTGTCACAAGACAAGCCCTCACATGGAATCCTGAAGGTCGAAGGAGAAGAGGAAGACCAAAGAACACATTACGCCGAAAAATAGAGACAGACATGAGAAGAATGAACAAGTACTGGAAAGAACTAGAAAAGAAGGCCCAGGACAGAGTGGGTTGGAGAAAGCTGGTCGGCGGCCTATGCTCCATTGGGAGTAACAGGCGAAAGTAAGTAAGTAAGTAACCTTTTTATATTAGCGCATGTGTATGTACCCTTCGTATCCTATTCATCATATGTCTGTCATTCATTTTTGTCTGATCATAAATATTGAGTAATGCTTGCTCATAGCGAGTTGGCATCCCAGCCATCTCCAAAGTGCACGTCATTTTGTTTCTCTCGCTTCTGTTCGCTTCATCGCTCTGATTCCATGGCCACATCAATGAGTATAGAAAATATATGTATTCTAAATCCATTCTCGTATTTGACTTATTTAACTCCGTTATTAACTAACGCTGATCAAGTCATTTATTACATACGAGGATAGACAGTACGTATATTTTAGCAACAAGCAATCATTCATACGAGCAAAAAGGAATCAGATATAAGCTACCACAACATAACTGGTAAGCCCGACATGCAAACACGCCGCAAGAAATGCTTTCGTAGAGTTGCAACTTTAGTCGTTGCTGATATTGCGATCTACAATGGATCAGACGTTTTTGACATATGTACATAGTGAAAGTATTACCTCAATATTATCATTTAGCCGCAAGTTTTTAGCATAGATTTGTGATGTTTAGTAATGTAATAGGAAAATGTGAAACCTTACAAATAAAATTCATACGCGCTTTACAAGGTGGTTTAGAGGTACATTTAGTTAAAAAAAATAGGACCAAAAGCTTTTCCCATATTCCACCCGTACGAAACAGGTGTTCAGTGCTTCCAGGTTTTCAGTGATTGATACATAGCCTCAAAAAACGTTGGTAGAACAATAGAAAATTTTATTTCTTCATCCAAACGTAAAATCTCGAAAAAAATAGATAGAGAAACTTACTTGATCAATAGTCATCACTACCGGTTCATCTAGAACGATCCATGTGACACATTCATTACATGGTGGTGTAGTTAATGATCCGGAATATGTGTAGTATCTGGATAAATCATCTGCATGATATAAAAATATTGCGGGTAAGGAAAAACGATAATTTAACATGCAAATGAGGATTTGATCATTTATAAAAGAAATGAGCTAAAGTTATGCATATTATTTTCGTAGTTAAGTTAGTGTGCTGCACCCACAAATTCCGGTCGCATTCCTGTTCATTTAATAAGGGAATGCATCACAGAGAGTACAATTTTCACCGAAGATTTCAAGTATCCAGAGTATTTTGGAATTGTCTGCTATTAGTATCTCAGTGTAGAGTGATTCAACATTCTTGTTGAAAAGTATAAATACACGGAAAATCAAGGCATGAAATTAAATCTATCATGAAAATAACACTCCAATACTCAGCACTCACCCACTAAATGAACGGAAATATGACCAAAATATCTGGTGACAACAAAGTTATGGGATGTAAACGATGTTCCAGAAAACCAGTGTCAAAAAGTCATTTAATGAAATGATCTCAAACTGGAATTGATTTTGAAATTACACTGAAGAAAACGATAAAATTTCAAGATTATTTCATCACTATCCACTTAGAACTAGGCACATATGTACGTCAGCTGATGTTATGATTACCAAATTAGCCTGATGAGATGAAATTAACAAGATGTATGATATTAAAGGTATAAATAATAAAGTACTAAATGAAAATGAAAAAGACTTAGCTTTAAGATTAAGGTTCAAATATACAGAGTGAAAAAGTATATTTAAAAGAATTCATAACTGAGAGGATGATCAAAGGTGAATACATCTGTGCTATTGTGAATGACTGACAATCATACACATAAAAATGACTTTTTTGTTCTTATTTCATGATTACAGTTTATTTATGTTACTTACTTTCTAAAACAAAAAAAAATTTATTAGCAAAACAAACATTTTCCACTACTGTCTTGTCTAAAAAGCCTCATTTTCACTAAAACTTTGTATGTATGTTATCTTACCCCATTCAGTTAATTTTTTTTATTTTCTCCAATAATTACATGCTATTACAGGATGTAGTGTACATTATTGAACTTCACAGTCTACATCACAAACTTATAATAATAAAATGACCAATAAAAGCTGGAGGAATTCATTCTTCATCATTTGATACTTTAGTGGTGTTTGTACAGGAACACACTAGTAATTAAACCCTGGAAGCTTGAGTTTTAAGATAGGTGCCTAACATTTTAATGGATAAATCCCCATGGAATAAATATCTGGATAAGATTAGTTTGTAATAAAAACTTAGATTGTTTCCAATTGTATTTGTTCAGATTGGCTTCCTGGTCGTTGTTTGATGATCAAATCAATGACTTTAACTCAACATTAATCCATAGATTATGCTTTTTTCATATTGCATAGAAACTTTCCACAATATTTATCTTGGTCATGACAAGATAAATGAAGAACAGTGGTTTTGATATTTTTTAAAACTTCATATTCATTTTTGTGAAATTGGCAATTCGTTTAAAAAATCCGGAATAAAATTAGACAGAAGAACTATTTCAAATATTTCAATGAATATACAATAATCTTTGCATGCTTAAATTAGGTAGAATTTCAATGAACACACATACATGTTCTAGGTTTGTTTTCAAGTCTATAATTCATTTGAAAACTAATTATTTTTATCGTTTTCCAGTTGCTACTGTTAACGTCAAAGTTTTCAATTCATGCAAACCGTTTTCATTCGAACGTTATTTGCGACGTTTTCAGTGTTCAACTGGTCTGTTCTTCCCAGCACTAATAATCATGTTTTGGGTGAATGGTGCATTTAAAATGGAATCGTCATTAGGGATTTCATTTCAAATGCTACATTTTTCTATATTTGTGTTCTCATAAGTCAAGTTATGCTGCGTAATATAGTTGTATTCATACAAGTGGATTATTGATAATTCCAGATGCTTGAAATGAAATTCATATGCACAGTATCCATCCAATCTATTATTTGATGGTTTCATTTTTTCTAAGTTTAATGATATGACTATGAAACTTCGAGATACGCAGTTCTGACCAGAACAACATGGACTTCTTCATCAGTGCACGTGATAGGTCCCTGAACTTAACATCTTCCAATGTATCTATTTGATAAGTGAATCATTGTTATTATTTGGTTAATAACTATAAAACGATAACTATTAATGATTAATTCTATTTTGGGTGGATTATTGGTAAAATGCTTCGGTATGTACGCGTATTTTCCAAGATAATCTACTATGATCGAGGTGACAACTCGCATTTTTGAGACACAACAAATCAGGTTAAAGGTTAAGTAATAAGAAATGCGCAAAATGAAAATAAAGGTATGCCATCAACAGTTCTAAAATTTGATTAAGGCCCCTGATAGTAACGATAAGATATGTCATAAATACGATACCTCATCTGACACAAATAGACCAAATAAGCAGTACACATTACACGCAATTAAGAAGAAGACCAAGTAATAAAATTTTGTATCGTAAGAAACTATATAAATACTAGAATATACGCACTGTTGGACAATACAATTGGATTAGTAGAAATAGGTAGCATTGCTACGCCACAATTATGTCCACGTCTAAACGTTTACAGTCTTAGTCGTTGCTGTGACAACCCTAACAGACCCAAATATTGATTTGGGCCGAACCAAACTAAAATTTGTATAAAAAGTTTTAATGAATGAAAAATGGCTAAATGCTAGAGTTTGTAGAAATAAATATCATGAATTTCATTTACCAGCTATGTAATCCGCTCAAAGAAAAAAGATTCAAGTCGTTTTTTAACAAAGCAGACGAACTTGATGTGCTTCTGAAAATTTTCATTTTTACAGTTGGAGATGAATAAAACGAAGAAAATTTACATTTAACTTTCGACTGCAGTATAACACAACAGTCCACAAGATTAAATACATAAATGAAGTAATGTCCTGTAAGGTACATAGAGAAAAGTAACATTTTAAGAAAAGCCGAATATAAAAGCTCATTCGAGGACGTCCATTTCGTCTTTATTAGGACTTATCAGAGGGATGTAACTGAACTCCAGTGTTATTATTCACCTTGGGACTTGAATTCAGAAGTTTTCGATTCAAAACACAAACGTGTTATCCACTTATTCATCGATTCCAAAGAGCTAACGGTTCGTAAATCCCGTATGAAGATTAACACTGTGGTACGGATGAATTTAGCTGACATGTATGAAGTAAGACGTAACTCAAGTTCTAGATACCCCTGATAGTCACTGTCCAACTCCATTTCAAATGCTTACAACCTGATGGAAATGTCATAGCAGTCTGCCTAGAATGCTCATGCTCCAAAATAGATTCATCAAATACAGTCCACAAAATCGACAGCAGTATTCGTACAACTAATGGAATTGAATTGAGGTTAAAAGTAACGCAGAGAATTGCAGTTAATCATCTGCACTGTCGAATATACCCCGATCCAATATAAACAAAGATTCATCCACTAGTCTTGATTATATTGAGATTATAGATTGAAACATTAGTTGATGAGGTGATTTAATGTCTTTTAAAGGTTGAATGTCGTAAATCATCCCAAGATGAACATGTAAAATACTATTACCAGAAAGGATTTGTGGAGATTCTTTATTTTTATAGTTTACATCACATACTAACCTTGGTTAAGTGACCAACTGAAAACTGGAGGCATTGCACAGTTCTTCAGCAATGCGTATGTATGATATGAGTCAGCCTGCGAGTGCTCTGGTATGGTCGAGTGTGGGGATAGTCAGCTTCCCCTCTCGAAATGCTCTCACCTGGTCACGCGTATTATCGCCGCTGGCACAAACGTCCTAACCACTGCCTCCTCGACTTGGGGCATTGTTTACAAAATTGAGAGAACGAAAAGCAGATATTCGGCGTTTTAACCTGTTTGGTGGATCTGGAGGATTCACCTAGGGGAGTTAGAAAACTTTTATTCCAAAGCAACAGTGCATTTGAACCCCAGGATCTCAAGGGAATGGCTGGCATATAAACATATTGTTGGTCACTGTCTACCATCGGGCTTCGCCTCCTAACGTTGCTTAACTGCCTTGTGGATTAGACATTTAGGTTAAAAGCCTGGTGTGTGGTTCTTTAATAAAACCACCTGCATCAGTTTGGACGTTCGGTCAATTTTTCAACCCTCACACAAATCAAATGATTTGTGAAGCGCATATATATTTGGTCCCTTCATGTATCACTATTTATGTGTTTAAATAAAATAAAATAAATAGACGAACCAAGGAACTATGGATCTCATGACAGACGCTTAACGTTGAAACCACTTAGTCGCCATTGGATCATTTCTATGTTTAACTCCAATCAGTCTACAATATTTCACAATCAACTTTCATTGGTAAGAATGGGTAACTGCTTCACTCCTTAAATAGTTAAATCCCATGGCTCTTAACTAGGACTACCTGAGTAAGTATGCCGAATAAGTTTCTAGTGTGCAAACGATTATGACAAACTTAGAGAAGTAATGGAAATTGTCAATTATATAGCTGTCTATATACTGAAATCTCGCCGTGAGACCTGAAGTTCGTGTATCTTACCTTCAAGTTCGTGGATGGACACTGCTTTTAAGTCCTGTACTAGAGCAAAACAGCTTTTCAGTACTCACTGATTTACAGTGTTTATCTAACTAAGATCAACTCGTAATCTGAACTATAAACGACAAGGTAACATTGAGTATTTAATTTATCATTTATACCGATTTGATTATATTCAAGCTCGATATATCAAACCACCCACAATATGTACTAACATTCATTTTCACTGTATCACTATTTTACTTTCTAATTTTGCCTGATAATATAACTTAATACTGTGTTGATAATTACAGTAAATACCTTAAAGTATTATTATTGATAATTCAAATTTGTATTACTCATTTTAATACTCTCATTGGTGTTTAGGACTGTAATTGATCAGTTTCCTATTTGGCATCCTGAGCGGTAATGTCAGGGATCTCAATCATTATAAGCAGAGATGGGTGGTGACCATCAGTGGAATCCAGGACACCTGTTTCGTCAATCGTTTCAAACATCAACTATGGGATGCGGGCACATCCAGCTGATGAGCACCAAATAGGTCAAAACTCGCGTCCTGGACTTCACTGCCAAACAAATGATTTAAAGGATTTTTTCAATAAAATATACTTTTGTTTATGAATACATTAGAACCTAACATAAATAAATGATCTTTAATTAAATTTTATTTTTTAAAAATTATTACAAAAATAAATGCAAGTTTTAAGAATAAATCAATCTTTGATAAATTTTTAGTTATCAGTATAGGGTTATGGAAGTTCTTGAGTTTCGATTGAGATCATCAATAGATCAACGTCAGACTACCCTTGAAAACCTGGAAGCACTGAACGGCCGTTTCCTCCAAGTATGAGATCGTGGATGCACACTGCTGAGGAGTCTCATACTAGGACAAAACGGTCGTCTAGTTCTTCCAGGTTCTCAGTGGTGGTCTAACAGTGATCAATTTTTGATATATATCATGATTTTTAGTTATTATGTTCAAAATATCATAAGTTGATTAGTTAGAAAATGTATCCCTAATACACAAGTTATTATATTACATTAAAGAGTTTTAATTTGAAAAATCCGATTACGGTCAATGTGGTGTTATTATTACATAATAAAATATTATTGATACTAGAATAATATCACGAAATATTTTCAAATGCCATTTTCATAATAAGAGAAATATGTTAAAATAACACCACCACCTCACTCAAAGAAAAGAGACTTATGAACAATGAAAGGAACTTATTGTTTCATTGAGAATGAAGAGAGAAAATTTTCTTCGTCATGACACAGTTTGTTTAAACTAAATAATTATTTGTATTTATGATGAATAAAAAGGGGTTTATTGGTCTGTTAACAGTTAAAAGCAGATGTATCATTAACCGTTTCAAGATTATAAATTTTACAAGAACCATTATGAGAATATTACTTAAAATGGATTTTTTTAAAGGGACAATTTAACACAGTCAATGAATCCATAGAGGAATATTTCATTTCACCTGAATTAACTTTTAAAATAATCTACACAAATAAGTTAATTGTTATGTATTGTACGATTTTTTGACAAATCAGGCATTCGTGACTAAACTCTGTGTGTGTGTGCGTGTATGTGTGTAAATATATCACATATAATCACTCATTCTTTCATGATCTTAACATTAATTCTAGTTTGTTTCTCTATTTTTTGCCATCAATAACCAGTAAGTATTGCCCTTAAGCAGTTTTTCATGGATGTTAATGAATTGTGATTTACCATACTTCTACCTTTCATTTCTTTCTCCATTCTGTTTTGTGGACAGTTATCTCTCATATTTACATCTTAATATTCAAACATTATACAGTGTTTAATAACAGTAACAAGGAAATCAATAAAAATCAAATGGTAGTTTGACAAGGTTTATAAATTCCTATGAATTTTTAAGAAAAATAGTAAATAAATACGAACATAATGGAGATGAATTATGTATTCCTTTCACCAATAATACAGACCCACAGCTTTGGTAAATGATTTTGTAGAAGAGAAGTTTTTTCTAGTGAATTGTCTTCAATTCTTTGTAATTAAGCAATCATATAAATTGGGTGAGGATAACCTCCACTCTCGTTCTCAATTTTGACCCTGTACTGGGTAACCATCCAAAATGAAGAGGGAATTATTATTTGCACTACCGTAATGCATGATGGAGGGCGTATTTCATTCTCTGTCGTTTTTGCTGGCCTACATGGAAAGTGTGGAGTTTTCTTCGACTAAAATTACGGTCCTTAGTGGTATATATATACACCACTAAGGACCGTAACAAAACACAGTTTTGCTAAAGTTGAAAGTACTGACCTTTCATTTGAAACTTAATAATCTGATCATATAGTCTGTACAGGAGAAGTTGAACGATCTTAATTATACTCCATATGAAGTAATAAATAAATATGTATGACTGAAAAGATTCAAACAACGAGTGAAAAAATATCCCGCACTTCTTCAGTTTTCAGCAATGTCAACTCGTTATATAAAATGACCGATAAATTACTTGAAGCCTAAGGAAAAACGAGCAACGTACTATATATATAAACCCAATACTCTCGAACTAATATTTGTTGGAAACTTTTGTAAAACTCAACTCAATATCTTAAGTTCATTATTCCAGATCTTACATCAATCGTTATTCATCGGCAAGAATATTATATAAAGATTATCTTGATGAATTACTATTAGGATTTATCAGAAGGCGATCATTCACATACTTTAATAAATACTATACTTAATGTGAAGCACTAAGAAAGGATCTTTCAACACGTATTTCTTTGTTTAAGAACACCAACAAAACTACGTACACAGTGAATGATAACGATAAAAAATCATAGCATTTAACCTAAAGTAAGCATAAAATACGAAAATGTATGTATAATTTACAAAAATTATCTCAGCAATAAGATTATTGGTTACTATGTCGTTCAATAAATTTATAAATTTATAGGCTACGAAATTTATTCCCTCTTACAACCCATTGGTTGATTGATTTTCACCTTTGGCATGCATACTTAAAGGTAGAACAACAACAAAATAGCGAACAAGTAATTTTTTAACAGTCATACAAAAATGTATTAAATTAGTTTAATCGTTGGTTAACATTCATTGTAGGTGGAAAAAAAGAACGATTACTAAATAGTTAATAATCAATAAATAAAAAAACGCAGAAAAGTAAAAAAGTTTAACAACCTAATAGAATAACATTACTGCTTAAACATCATTTAGATAAAATGATTGTGTTAGGCTTTGTTATTAAAAACTCAATATTTAGAAGATTTTATAAATTTTCACTAATCTCCAAAGGAACTCCGTGTTATTAAGTAGATAAGATAATTAGATAAATAAGCTACTTCCTTGAACAAACCATAATAAACTAGAAAAACTCAATCATCTTACTAGGAAGTGTCATTAACTGATATGGAACATACAATGTAGCCTAAAAGATAGAGAGTATATGTGGAAACCATATGGATGATTTTCATAAATTGCAAAGTTGATGGAATGAAAAGATTAACTTGTTACAATATGAATAATCTTTTTTTCATATTTTGGTATGACAACGGAAATCTCATCAGCAATATTGACTTTTTAATCATTGGGGTAATCAACCTGGATCTGGTGTTAGTCTCAATACCACAAGGAAAATCATTATTTCAATAGTTTAGTAATCCGATTTTTTTAGAGAAATATTTAATAATTTTATTCGTAATTAAATAAAGTTGATAGGTTCGGGTAAAATTATTCGGCATAACATGAATTAGAAATTAAAAACTGTGTTTATAACATTTGACATTTGTTAATGTTATTTAATCAAACCGTGTTTACATGAATGAACATACTTTTCTGTTTCCATCGTACAGTATTAGATAATACTAATAATAAGTATTGTAGTAATAGTAGTAATATACGTTTTGAGATTATTATATTTTTCGTATTAAACAAACAGAGTAATATTTAGAAACACCACTGATCACTGCTCCTTACTAGAACTCAAGGAAATACCTCTTGAAGCCAGTCACTAGTGGTCATATGTTGATTAATATCAGAAGGGGTTTTGTGGATATTATAGTAATTTCAATAGCTGAGATCATGAGCCAATTGAAACTAGACCATTATAGAAAAACTGGAAGCAATGATTTCTAGTGAGAAGCAGTAGCCAGTGGAGTTCAACTGGGATAGTAACTCACTGAAGACAATAGTGAATGTGCCGCTCAATTTCGTGGATCGGTTTGAGTTAGACGTTAACACTGTTGGATGCTGGCCCAGTAGTCTGGAGGTTAAGCACTCGCGCGCGAGACTGGAAGGTCCTGGGTTCGAATCTCGCGAGGCAGGGTCGTGGGTGGACACTGCTGAGGAGTTTCACAATAGGACGAAACGGCCGTCCATTGCTTCCAGGCTTTCCATAGTGGTTTAGCTTCAATCGACTAATGATTTCAACTGTTGAAATTACTATAATATCCACAAAACCCTTTCTGTTTAACAATAATTCTTCATGCATAAATACATACTAATAATAGAGAGTGGATCGATTTACTCATCATTTGTTATAAGTGATTATGTTGAAAAAAATTCAAATTCACTCTTTTTCAAATTTATTTTTAATAGCTATAAATGAAAAACTATTGTCAGTTTTGAAAGTTAAAGTCTAGATCTCATCAGACAATATTGTCAACATTTATAATAAGGCATTATACAATACGAACTAGACATGGAAAAATTAAAAATTAGGAAAAATTACAGATGAGTTAGTTGAAGAAAATAAAGATCTTAATACATAAGACTTTTCTTATAATTTCAAATTATGCAATAGATATACATTTTGACTTGACAACTAGAAAAATATATACATAGTGGGAAATTCAAACCCTTACTAAATATTATATATATATATACATATATACATGCAACTGTATATACTTAAAAATTATTTACTTACTTGGCAAAAGTGTGTTCAAATCAAGCATAGGTTGAATATCTTTGCTTTCGCCTTTCTTTGTTGATTTCAATAATGTGCATAAACGTTTTAAGGCGTTATTATTATTCGATGATTTGCCCAACTAAAAAGTAAACATTAATAGCGTCTGTTAATGCTGTTATCAGTAGTGGTGTGGTGTGAGCTACTGATATCGACATAAGTAGTACATGTGGTGAGTAAGGAATAGAATATCTGACAGCAGAAGATTGAGAAGATCAAGAAGAGAAGAACAGAAATAAAAAGCAATTTGTGTGGAAATCCAGGAACAATGAAGCCTGGGGCAATTGAAGAACATTTTGCAAATAGTGTATCATAGCATGGTTTTTGTATTTTACCAAGTAACGTTGTAATTTGTGCTAAATACATAGTTGGATGTCCTCACCTGTGTTCTCATTCGCAACGTTTGGTGTCGCTGCCTCCAAGGATGAAGACTCCATGGCCGAAGGAGTTTGAGGACGGAGATATGCTGAGCTTCCCGAGGGAGTTCGAAGCTGTGGCGGAGCTGGTGGGGGTGGAGGAGCCGAAGGCAAAAACGGTGGTGCTGGGGACGCTGCTGAAAGGCAGAGCGAATGCTGTATATGACAGCCTGGACGGTGCGGGCGGTAGGACGACATGGGAGGCAGTCACGGAGCGGTTGACTGTGGAGTTCGATAGCCCAGTGGACAGAGAAGAAGCACTGCAGAAGTTCCGAGTGGCGAAGTTGCCGATCGATGGTGATCCGCTGGTGCTGGCCGTGGAGCATACCATGTTGCTGCGTCGCGCGCTGCCAAATCTGGATGAGGAGTCGGAGGCACAGTTGTTGGCGTCTCAGTTTATCGAGAGCGTGCCTGTTGCCGTTTCCCAGCAGCTGAGATTGGTACACGCCGCGCGACCTATGGATATCAGTGAGCTTGCAAAGGTGACGCGACAGTTGATGATACAAACAGTAGCTCCGGTCGCCTGCGGAAGTCAGGAGATAAGCAGCATTGAGAAGAAGATTGAAGAACTGCAGCACGAGATTGCGGCATTACGAGTGATTCGTAAAAGGAATGATAAGTGTTTCGCATGTGGAGGGACAGGACACTGGAAGATAAACTGTCCAACACGACGAAAACGGAGATATTTTAGACGTTACGTGTTTCCTTCTTACTCTAGGGATCTGGGGGTTGTTGCATTAGTAGATAGAGGGGCAGTCTATGCAAGAGTGAACGTAAATGAACTAGATTTAATGTGCCTAATCGATACAGGGGCAGCAGTTTCGTTAATAGGTAAAGAGCAATGTAAGAGATTCAAGCCGTGTAAAGTCGCATTTCACACTATAGGTGGGCATATGTTAGAGGTATTGGGCGTGTCTAACAGTATCGTAAAAGTGGATGGTTCGGAGATAAGTTTTCCGTTCGTGGTAACTGCAAACCTGTCGAGACCAATATTAGGAGCAGATTTCCTAAGAGAAGTAAAAGCCATAGTTGACCTAAGAAGCGGTAAGGTGGTCACGAAGTACGGTTCATTCTCAATACATGAAAGTAGCGAGGTGGCTGAGGTTAGAGTGGCAACAGCCGTTGTGACGGAGAAACCAAACATCACCGAGTTGTGCAAAAAGTATGCGAAACTGTTCACTGGAGAAGGAGAACCGTACGGATTTTGCGACAAAGTAAAGCACGAAATCCCGATAAAGAACAATGGAGGAAGTATATTCACAACACGTCATGTCCCTGTGCACTTAGAGGCTGAAGTAAATCGACAGGTCCAAGAGATGCTGAAAGAAGGAATAATTGAGGAGGCGGACAGCCCGTATAGCTCACCGGTACTCTTGGTAAAGAAACCGAATGGGAAATATAAATTTTGTGTTGATTTTAGAGAACTGAATAATATAACAGAACTAAAGCCGTGTGCAATGCCAACAGTAGTGGAAACATTAGATCGGCTGCAGAATGCCACGGTGTTTACAGTGTTGGATTTGCGGTCAGGTTATTGGCAGCTGCCTATAAAAGAGAGCGATCGAAGCAAGACAGCATTTACCATACGTGATAAACAATATCAATTTAGACGAATGCCGTTTGGATTGGCGGGTGCGCCATTTACGTTCAGAAGATTAATGTCGCTACTGCTCAGGGATCTAGATAACGTCGAAGTGTATGGCGACGATGTAGTCGTATACAGCCAGACAGATACAAATCATGTCAAGCATGTGGAAGCGGTCTTAAAGATAATTGAAGAATTCGGACTTCGAATTAATAAGGACAAGTCACAGATGGCGAAAAGTAGCATCACGTTGTTGGGGCATAAAGTGGGGAATGGAGAAATAAAACCACTACCGGAGAAAATTCTGACTATAAAGAACGTTGCAGTACCGAATTCGAAAAGGAAATTGAGACAGTTCCTGGGAAGGGCGGCGTTCTACAGTCGGTTCATCAAGAATTTCAACGAAATAGCAACACCCCTTTCTAAGTTGTTGAGTAACACTAAATTTTCGTGGACTGAAACCGCCCAACAAACGTTTAATCAAATCAAAAACATGCTGGACGACCGCCAGATGACGCTCAGACTGCCTGAACTGGAGAAACCGTTTACGGTGACAACAGACGCAAGTGACCATGGTATAGGTGCCGTTTTAAGTCAGTCTGATAGAGTGGTGGAATACGCAAGTCGCGTTCTCACGCCTGCCGAACAGAAGTATTCAACGATCGAAAAGGAGTGTTTAGCGATTGTGTGGGCAGTAGACAAGTGGAGACCATATCTGTTAGGTAAACGATTTCACATCGAGACTGACCATAAACCTCTGCAGTGGCTACAAACAGCACGAGACCCACGTGGAAAGTTGGCGCGATGGATGATACGTCTGCAGGAGTATGACTTCAGTATCGGGCTTGTTCCAGGGAAGGAAAATGTAATGGCGGACTATCTGTCAAGACCAGACATGGAAGCCGAGCTTCCATTGACAGCATACGCAGTGAACAGTATAGAGGGAGACCCACTAGAACTCGTCCGGCAACAGAAATCTGATCCTAAACTTCGAGAGGTAATCAGAGTGATAAGAGAGGGGGCAGATTTTGACAAACGAGCAATGGACAAGGAGGCAATAAAAGAAAGGAAAGACTGAAAGTGAACACATATGGAGCTCTGGTCTGGCAGGATGATGACAAAAATTGGGTGGCTGTGATCCCGAAAGACTGGCGGCGTAAGATGATACACGAATGCCATCAGGTAGCGCACACAGGTATCGCAAGAACGACAGATTTACTACGGCAAAGTGCATACTGGCCAGGCATGAGAGATGATGTGGCCCAATATGTGTTGACGTGCCAGCAGTGCCAATTAATGAAAAGCGATAGATACATGCAACCGCCATTGCAGTCGGTCCCAGTAACCGCAGTTGGTGATCTATGGTCGGTAGATGTGATGGGACCATTTCCACAGACGGATAGCGGCAACCGATACTTACTAGTAATGACGGAACATGCTACACGATGGGTCGACGTTGTACCGATTGCCGACCAGCGGGCGAAAACAGTGACCGAAGTAATAATCCGGCACATTGTAGCGGGTCATGGAGTACCGAAGATGATACTAACCGACCAGGGTCCCTGTTTTGAAAGTGACGAGTTTAAAGCAGTTCGGCATCAAGAGGATACGAACTACACCGTATCACCCGCAGACGAATGGGCTTACGGAAAGAAACAACCGGACATTAAAGGAATGGTTAGCATCTAAAGGAGGGAATTGGGAGAAAGAGTTACCACAAATTTTGCTGGCGCATCGTGCCTCCATCCAAGGAACAACTAAGAAATCACCTTTCCTACTTATATATGGTAGACAGCCACGACTTCCGATGCATAATAAGACGTGGCCACAGCAGCAGAAGTGGACGGCAACAACATTAAGGAAAGAGAGGACGGAGGCAATAAAGAACGTGAAAAAGAAACAAATATCAGACATCAAGAAGGCGGAACAGCAGAGAAGAGCATGGAAGCCTTTTAGAGTGGGGGACCTGGTAAAGTGTAGAGAACGGAGAGCTAACACTGAAGGGGGACCAGGGTCAGGAAAGCTGACCCCGAAATGGGAGGGACCGTACATTATCACGGAGAGACGCGGCCCAGTTTACACGATCCGGAGAGAAGACAAGCAGAAGCGTGTAAATGCCAGTCAACTACAGAGATGGTTTCAGGAACATCATGAGCACGAGTCACGAACGGCACCAAAGGAGACAATGGTACGGCAATCAGAAAGATCGCGAGAACAGCTTATTAAAAGGGGGGACGAGTGTGGTGTTAGCTACTGATATCGACATAAGTAGTACATGTGGTGAGTAAGGAATAGAATATCTGACAGCAGAAGATTGAGAAGATCAAGAAGAGAAGAACAGAAATAAAAAGCAATTTGTGTGGAAATCCAGGAACAATGAAGCCTGGGGCAATTGAAGAACATTTTGCAAATAGTGTATCATAGCATGGTTTTTGTATTTTACCAAGTAACGTTGTAATTTGTGCTAAATACATAGTTGGATGTCCTCACCTGTGTTCTCATTCGCAACAGAGGTAGTAGTAATATACATAATGTAATGTTCCAGCTTATTCGGTAAATTCATTCGATAAGTGTTACCCGCAAACTGACACTATCCCCACAAACCCCTTTAATTAAACCACCTAACATTACATTTATTATTCAGGTTTATTTTATTTATTTTATTTTATTATAAACAACCCCATCGTCCAACCTCATACAGTTTATTTGGGTTTATCATATGATGATCACTGGCAAATAATAGATTAATAACATTTGTGTATCATTTATTTATTTACTTAACTGACATGAAGAATCTGCTATAAATAAGACGCCGCTAAAGCTTCATTATAAATTTAGTTGCTTTTTATTAAACATGAGAACGGATTAACAGACTAGTTACTTGTCAAAGCAAATTATCTGAATTAGGAATTAATACTTAGTTACTAAAACGAAAACCCAATCAAAAGATTGATCACATTAAATATATTTATCTTTATTTCTCTTCGCTATTTAAACTAATGTCAATACAACTGAAGTATTCATTTATCCTGTAAAGATGTGACTTATACAAAACTGTGAAATTAACAGAATTCAATTTACTGCTCATTAGGATTATATAGAAATAGATAAACATTCTTTCCTATTAAATAGGAATAACATATTTGTAAAATCTCAGCGAATGAATTTGTAGTAAATCCAACGTTTCGCCTGGCAATCTGGTCCAAGCTTTTTCAAGGAATTATTCATTCGCTGAGATTTTACAAATATATTATTCCTATTTAATGTTTTACATCAACTCGGCGCTCAAATGCTGTGAAACTATTCGCTCTAATTTAGGCGAGAGTTCTCATATATTATTCTTTCCTATTATTGTAAGTAATGATGAACAACCATAAAAATTATTATTATTCTGAATAAATTAATAAACAATATCAATTCCGCCTGTGGCTCCTCCGGGGGCTACTGCCGGTCCCAAGCCCGAATAAAGGAGGAGGGTCGAACATGGTTTAGCGACCCGTAGAAAACCAGCTCGCTAAAAACACTCTAACCAGAAAAATAAACAATATCGAATATACGCAAAATGTTTAATTGACTGAAATGATTATTGTGATTAAATCACAACAAACACAACGAATCTTTATAGATAAACAAATTAACAATGAAAAACAAATTAGATTTATTTCACTTTTAATTAAATTTAAAAAAGAATCGAAAAAATATATTCATAGGAATTGTGCAGAACAAAATTGACCTATAATGAGTTTAGAGCTAATTATATAAAGGGTACTGAAAAAGAAAAAGAGAATAAGAAGAAGTAACTATATTAAATTATTCCTAAGGAAGGAAAAACAAAATTAAGAGGAAGAAAAAGAGAAAGCTAAGTGTTTTTAAGTAGTAAGAAATATTTTCCAATAAATAAAAAATATTCAAATTAGCCTGAAAGTAGGCCTAAGTTTTGGAATTCACAATTTTTGAATTTTTATGCTGAATTCAGTAAAACTTTGATTCGGTGGTTCGTGAGACATTTAATCTTTTTGTGTGAAATATATGCGGTGCTTACTGATTTTCAAACTTAAGTGTCCGAGTAGTATTAATCAGGTGTTGGGGAACAAACACGTAGATAGTATTGAGATAATATACATATATATATGAAATATTAGTCAATGATGAATACTTGTGTTATAAGTTTTCCGTATTATTTTTTATTCATTTTCCAAATCAAATAGAACACCCTATTCAATTTTGAGTTAAGCCATTTTAATAAATTTTATGGTAATTAATCTATACACATTTTGAACAGTAAAAGTAATTTCGTCATCTGACGCGGTGATTTACAATAACATTCAATAACAATCAATTAAATCAATTATAATCATTCCCAATTAATAGTAGGGTAAAATGAGCAACACGTTTTGACACCTAGTTTACCGTTAAAGTATAGTAAAATCTTAGTAACAAGATGTGTTATGGATTACCTTTAAAACATATTAAAAAGCGTTTTCACTCTCTCCATAAACCTAAAAATTAAAAACTATTTAAAAAGCTGAACTTATAGCTAGTTTTTGTGATTATCTGGACCATAAAAGGTTAATTTTTATCAAGTTACTTAGAGAGACTTTTTACTACTCAGATTCTGAACCTCTAAGATTCGATTTTGTATGATTTAGTGGATGTACTACAGATTACTATTTGTTCAGCACTCCAACGCTTTAAGACGTTTGATAGTTAATATCCGTCATTCACAGGAGGTTGTTATCAAAGTACTCTACAACCTCCACAAGCCCGTTTCGTTTCATAAAGAATAGATAGAATGTGATTAGAAGTTGCATCTAGGACACGTGTTTCATCCGATTTCTGACTTGTCACCCTGATGTATCAGCATTTCCAAATTGATGTCCACTCTATAATTCGAACGTCACTTCAATTTGTTAGTTTCAAAAAGCGATCTGAATATATTTCCCGTGAATCGAGATCAAAATAATCATCAAACATTTATTCTTCAGGCTAACAGAAGAGAGAATATTTATGGAATCATTACATTAGTGTAAAATCAGACCTATCAATGTTAGACCACCACTGAAAACTGAGAAGCACTGGACGGCATCTACGATCCTGCTCGCAGAACTCGAACCCAGGACCTTCGACCTCGCGTGAACGTTTAACGTTCAGACCGCTGAGAGTGCATCCAAGTGATTCATGATTCATTATAACACTGATCTGCTTATGATTAAAATCAAATTCACCAAACTCTACAACCTCTTACTGAAAATATATATATTTTTTATTTCATGAGAAAAAATAGTTTAATGCTATTTTAGGCTTTAACCAATGAATTATGTTGACATTAACTTTGACTAGTGAGTCTATCAAATTATTGATTTTTCTTTCACCATTCATATTACCTTATTACAGTATGACTATAATTAGTGTATGTTATTTAACAATTACAAGTTTATTTATAAACTGCTTAGAGTTGGACTTCAATTACGTAAAAACCAATGTTCCTATCCAGTTGATCAAACTGAAATAAAGTGAGGTTTCTAAATATAATCCTCCTTTTTGTAGCCCACGAACCTTAATTATTTACTGAGATTGAAGTGGATGAAACAAACACAGAGATGGTCAATTTATGAATTCGCACTATAATTTGAAAAATAGATAGCTAAATAGCGACCATATATATCGGTCTATCATTATTGCATCATTTGATCATAACTGACCTTTTATCCCCGTGGATTGAGCCGTTATTAGACCTAGCTTGGAATGGAAATTGATGAAAATGTTACTGCATATTTTTGTTACATGGCAAATAAAACTTTTAGTTGAATGGAATTTGTCTTGGCAGATTTTTTTATTAGATTATATTCTTGTTTTTTTTCTTATTAATTGATTTTACTATTCTTTCCTCCTGTTTTTCCTCATAATATTATCATTTTCTTTTCAATAGCCACTTTTTAATGTCACGTTATACCAAAGTTTACTTCATAGATAAATAAACAGAAAACAATGAGTGTAGGGGTTTGTAAAGATGTTTAAGTTTTATACTTTATATCACAAATTGAGTATAGTTTGAAAACCAGTGAATAGCAGGTAACACTGGACAGATGTCATCCTCATATGAGACTGCAAAGGAATGCCCATCCACTACACTACTGTGAATCAAACCCAAGATGCCTAAGTATCGTGATAAGTGCTCAACATTTAGACTACTTAGTCTATTTCCATTATCTTACATTTTTAACTCAATGATCTACACGTCGAGCCCTCACAACGAGATATTAAGGTGCTGGGGCCGATTTTGAGTGAATATTTATTTGGGCATAGCTGGTTTGTCCCAAACACGTATCTTTTACCTCCTAGTTTTCATCAGTTTTCCGAATATGGTCATTTCGTCATATAAGCTATCAAACAGAACCTAAATCTGCAATATAAAATGATTAATTTCAAGTGTTTCAATCATCGAATCAATAAACCATCTATTTAAGATACCATATGAAGTAAAGTAAACTATTTTTGTAATCAAAATTTAACTAACTTGAAAAAATATACCGACAACTGACAATCCATCAGAATAAGTGATAGCGGTCTCCATTGTAGCATATTTAGTATTAATAAATACACAATGTAGTTCAGCAGGACAACTTATCCCATTGATCATATGCTCAGAGCCCCAGTTATTACCAGATCCCCAATGTAAATGAAATTGTGTCAGTTTATATTCTGATGTTAATGGACCACCGGATAATACTACAAAATAATAGGAAAATAGTGTTATAGAAAAAGTTATAGATTTTAATTTATAAAATATTGTCTAACATAAGTTTTTTTATGAAGTACTCTAGAATTAGAAATTCCCGATAAATATACAAACTTCGTATCTTTAGAACAGCTATTTGGACTCAACATCTCAGTGGATAGCATGTCAGCATCTGAAGTGGAAGATACTTGGTTCGAGTCTCAATGTGGACACCAAAACTGACATGTATGTGTTAAATAGAATGGAACGCGGATCTTGGATTCCGCTGAAAGTCACAAATCATCTGTTCTATGAACTAAAGAGCCTAATCCTAGACCATATAGTGATTTCTTTCAGCAGCGTAAAACCTATTACTTTACTGAGTTGGTGGTTACATTTATGGATCAGTTTTCCTGAATTTTAAAGTTTTCTCTCAGTATTTTACAGAACTGATCGACTTACATGACTTGAGTTCTGTAATTAAACAGACTGATGACATCAAAACTATGGGAAGGAATATTTTCTGGTTTTGTTTTTAGAGTAATGATAAAGTCGAGGAGGTACTACTTATACTGAAGAAGATCTGGCTTGACTGGACAGATCAAACAACTGACAAACAATGACATTTCATCGTTGAAAATCACGCGTAGGTGACAAGAGGGATGAGGGAATTTAGATAGTATTTCTATGACTTTAGAAAAGCCAATGAAGATAACTGAACAACAAAGTTCACACGACATTTTCATGACTCTAGAAACAATAGAAGCCAAAAAGATGAGTGGTCAATTACATGAGAAATTTTACTATTATATTTGCCCAGAATTCATATTTCCACTAAATTATTTGCGTAACAGAATGATAATTGCAGTGACTCTGTCTCTTACGTAAATAAAATGAGATGTAAGTTACTATGACTTCACCTAACTACTGAAATAATTCCTTACGGTAGTTTGTTGTAAGAAAACACTTATTTAGTTGGGTAATTATTTTAATGACAGAAAGAAACTATCCTATTTCTTGTGATCATAACGTTAGAGAGTTAGTGAAACAATCTGATTGGTGAAATTTATCAGCAAAGCTTTTTGACTAAGCATATACAACAAAAGATGGTGATTTTTTTTCTGCTGACACTAAAGTTAATGGTTTTAGTTAAATTCAAATATTTAAATGTCAACAAATGCTGAACAATCAAGTTAAAAAGCTTCAAACCGATGATATGCTTATCTAAAAATCATTTTTTTGATAACAGATCAAATAAATAAAATACAATAGAATATCTGAAATTGTCTAAATAACGTTGAATAATTGAGGTTGAATTGTGACCAGCTATGGAAACAAGAACATGAATTTCATCCTGTCAGTAACTACATGAGCTCAGTAGATAATGTTTTAACGCTTAAAACTGATAGTACTTGGTTCGAGTCACATTGTGAGTATCAACGATAATATGCAGGTATATACAGTTAACTATTTTCAAATAGGACATAACGCACTTCCCAGATTTCATTCCTAGCCACTATCTAGCTCTAACAAATACTTCAAACTAATTGACTATACGCTCAGGATGCATATTTATCAACGCAGACTTATCAATTGTAGTCATCATAATAACAACACGAAATTGTGGAACCTTATAAAAGAAAACATGACTTTTAGAAAGTTCATAATTCACTCAGGGGTGTGAAAATATTTCTACTAAATCTAATCAAATGAGTAGACATTTTTGTTATATGATCTGTCATATTCACCTTCCTTTATCGAATTGCATTAGTTATCAGCTTTCTTTAGGACGTTTTCAGTTAAAACGGAAAATAAAAAAATATACAAATAAAATAAGTAGTGTTCAATAGTCTATAATTTTTTCTCATCTGTTATCTCATCAGTTAGAATTAAAACAAAATTACCAATTAAGCTCAAAGACTAATTTCTTAATACGCTAGTGATTACATATGTATGTATATAATCTATAATTAACAATAAAATCAATACCAATTACAAATTGTTAAGTCTGAATTTTTGGCCAAGAGTGAGAGTCAAAAAGGAAATAAAACAAAATTCAAAGATACTGAGGAGTTCAACAATAGGACGAGACGTCCAACCAGTGCTTTCAGATTTTCCATTGTGGTCTAGTTTCAAGGGATTCATGACCTCAACTACTAAAATTATTATTTATTAATAAAATGTTAACAGTGTTTTGAAAAATTACTATGTATTTCATAATAATCATTTCAAGATTAAACTGTCTACCCCCATTTGACTAAATTCTAATTAATTTATTCTTCGATATTGTGCTTACCATTGAAAAGTTGAAGCGATCTAGACTTTATTTTCCATGTGATCAAATTGCTCACTGTTTCAAAATCCTAAACTAGAACGATTTAATCGTTCAGTGTCTTTTATTTTTCCGAACGTATATCCAATTAATTTTTGTTACAAGTGATTGAACACGAGCAGAGAAAGTCAAAGCACAAGCAGACTACGCAGAAGCAAACAGAGAAGTGAAGAAAAGCATTAAAGCCGACAAGCAGAAATATATCGGTTACCACATAGTTATCAACCAACCTTAAATACCTCGGTCAATCCTAGACCGAACAGCTAAGTGATAACGTCTCAATCTGTGAAGCTATACAACAGCGGTCTGGATCTATCAAGAAGTATCAGTTAACCCGGGTTCCCAAGCACGTCTTGACAACAAATGTTAACTAGATATTTGATAACTACTTAAGATCCCCTGACTTTCATATTTGTCTATAATAAATGCTATCTTTTTCAACTAAATTTTCTCAAACATTGTTGATTCAGCAATGACTGGAAATAGTGTTAGGAAAATTTGTGTTAGTGAATCAGCTATTACATATACTTATTAGCATAAGCTTCTTTAAAGAATTTTTCTGCTGTCTCGAATACAAAACAAAAAGAAATCGAAGAATGATTCTTTTAAATCTTTAGTGTACAAACAAACAAAAAATGGGAATGTGAATTTATAAGAACTTTTCGATTAATATATCTTTTCCCAATTAAGAATAGAATTTGTCATGATCTGCATCCTAATACAAGAATGGATAGACAAGGAAACTTCAACGAAATGACGGAATAAGGGCGATTTTCACCATAGTGAGATATCGATTTTGAAAAAAGCAAACAAATAAGAATACAACTATAATATGAGGATGATGAAACGAAAGTGAAATTTTATCAGTCATATTTTTCCGAGACACTACATATAGTTCATGGAATTATTTAAATATACTATGTCGTGTTCACCATATTTAAGAAATATTTAATTGGTTTATGTTCATGGTTGTCATGTTCTTAGTTCAAGTTAAATACGCTTCGCAAACTTTTTCCACAACAACTGGTTGGTAACTAAGTAGTGTCAATTAAAGTGTGCATCTTATCCTGTAGTATTAATCAAGTCCTGTCGATGATGTCACAACTAGTTCATTAGTCGAAGTAAACCTACATCACGTCCACTATGTCGAGATGTTAGGTGATTGAAAGCAGTCAGCATGAAACCTTATCTGAACCAGGCTCCTTAATGTTTGGCACTTATCATCAAGAAGAACCTGTTATGTTGAGGGAAACGATGACTTTTTGGGTACACTTATCTTCACATCTTGATAAGTCATCACCAACTTATTCAATCCTCGATGAATCTTCAGTAGGACTGAGTTATCTTCAATAGATTGGTGACTGAGTAGTAACTAATATCATGCCTACGTGTTTTCGTTATCAAAATATTTCCTACACACAGTCGATGTATTATTATCAAAACGATGTTCTTAACCCATTTTGATTTCAAAAATATCTTATGATGGAGAGAATTTATACCTAAGGCAGATAGTGATCGTATTAAGTTGCCTAGGCTTAGAGGAAATAATATTACCAAAGGATTTTATGAACATCTCTAGTTAACATGTTCAATTATATTTAATTGTTTGACTAGCTGATCCAAAGCCACTCATTATCGTTTTGTAAACCAAACTGGATCAAAATTGAGGGCATGTTAGTTTTTATAAGTGGAAATTTGCAGTATTTTTCACTTTATGATATTCTCCTATGTGGTAATAATTTGGAATGGGTCACATTTAGTTTAATGTACTTGTACGATTTATTGACTTAATGATACTTATCACGTACACCAAAGTGTTTTGTAATTTTTCGTTCCTTAATTACATCTTAGAGTTTTCTTCGCTTCACTAAACCCCAGTTTCAGTTTGCGTAATTATATGCAAGCTGACTAATGTTTGATTTTTATTAATTATTTTAGTCCATAATATTAATCCATTATTTTAGTAAACAGATACCCAACTTAAAAATATACATGTATATGATTATCCTTTTTTCTAAAGAAAATGAACCTTACTATTTCACTAAAAGGCAGCCTGCTTGAACATCTGGACTAACTGTTCCTTATATCTAGGTATTTCAACAAGTTATCTAATTTTGTTTGTTTTAACACATCATTTTGCTTATTAGTCGTATAACCTATTCAGGTGCGTTTCTGAAAAGTGTACAACCTTTCGTTGTACAAGTTACAAAGGCCCAATCAGAGATATCGTGGTTGCTGGCAATAAGCAGCGAAAAGAATGTACACAGTCGATTTATTAGACTGCTAAATTCTAACTGGCGATCACTCAATATTTGTCGTCAGGATCGATCAAGAAGTCAGAAACGGAAACTTGTTGAAATACATTGTGCTGAGAACTCCATATTGTACCAAAAATATAATATAGAATAAAGCTAATGATAAAATAATTACGCACAATCTTAAACAAGTCTAATTTATTCTGTACTTAATTAACAAATAAATAACCATAGGAAATTGTTATTTTCTGTTTTCATGAACAATAAAATGTTTAAAAAAAGAGCGATTATTTAATTCAGCGAGGGGGTTTGTGGAGGTTGTAGTATTTTTAACAGTTGAATTCAGGAGTCGATCTAAGCTAGACCAGATATTTATTTACCATAATGTGTAGAATGTTTATACACATGCCCAGCTGACATAAAA